TCTCTCTCTCTCTTTTTTTTTTTTTTTGGCCATCAGATGGACATTAAATCTGCAGTCCATAAAATCCCCTTCCAATGATTTTCTATTTGACTTCACAGTCCTCATTTTCTGCTCACATATTTGGACGCCAGCTTTTCTCTTCTGTGTGAACTCTGGCCTTTTGTTCTGCCTGGAGAAATTGCTTCTCTAAACTGGCCTATCGCGTCGCTCTTTAAAAATATCTTGGCGGGGTGTACAAATCTGATCTCCGATCAGATGCCACGCTGCTGCCCGATAAGCTCCGCACCATGTTATTATCCTGCTTTCCACTTGGCCGTGTGCTGAGGCATACCGGCATTCCTAATTGACAGAATTCGAAGGGACCTTTCATAGGAAAATTGACTTTTTCATTTCTTGTATTCAAATCGTTTCGGCAGTTCCTGCCCACGTTTTCGGTGTGAAATTACACCCGCTAAGTAAATTTTGCCGAATTGTGGCATCATATGCGTTTGAGGTGTCCGCTGCATGCGCCACACACACACAAATCGGTGCACTAATTCCATTTACCCTAACCTAATAGCAAAGGGTTTGAAGGAACCATCAAAATGACTACATACTGTAATTTATTTCCCAGTGCATAGGAATCTCCTGCATATAAATGACCATTCAAGGACAGCACAAAACTACTGGACAATATTCAGTGCAAGACCTCTTTTTGTACATTTTTTTCACACAAAAAAATACACTCACTCCAAGTTTTAATAGTCTTTAGGGTACTATGTTTGTCCTGGGTATCATTTCAAATATGCAACAAAAAAAAATATTAGGGCTACTCATATTGTAGTATAGGCTTGTATAAGATCCAGTGTAAGCGCAACTAAGACATAACTGCCATCTAGTGGTAAGTGGTGATGATACAACTTAAAACTACTGTCGACTCCTGCATATTTGCAGTTCGGCACATGTAGATTTGCATATTCACATCCCCTCCCCTTAATTTTTTCTCCCCTTGGATTCAACTCCCCTCCCACACACACGCACACACACACGCACACACACACACACACACACACACACACACACACACATTTTTCATTGAAAATGTGTGTGTGTGAAA